AAGGACAGAACAAAATTCACTATGTTTTGTCAATAAAAAGCAGGAATTATAAATGTGCTGTCATGAAAGGTTAAAAAATTACAACATTAATAGAGATAAAGACAAAATTATATTATGTTCAAAGGAACCACATACAATGAATCAATATGAATACTAAAGAAATATATACCAAATGATATAACATCTAAATTCATAAAAGACTGAATAGTAAGAAGATACACTTACAATAATAGCAGGAAATTTTAATATTCCCTTCTCAAAGCTGGGACAAATCTAAGGGAAACTAAAGAAAAAGGAAGATATATAACTAGATAATCTTGGAGAATTTAAAGATAAAATATTTATGGTTATTGTGTTTTCTGAATTCAAACACTGAAGAATGTTCATATTTCTGAGAGTCAAATCACATCTTTGTCACAAAAAAGTGTTAAGGCATATAACATCTTAAATAGATTTTTTTAAAGAAATCATTAAAACATTCTTAGAGACAACATCATCATCATCATTACAGTTAACAAAAGTTAAAGATTTGTACCTAAAAGGAGAGTTAAAATTACACTCTAAAATTTTTAAACAAAACTTTTTACAGAAAAACAAAAACTATACACAACACATAAATAGCACTCACATGTATAATACATTAATATGTATGCATATATACATGCCCTCACACAATACACATATTGTGCACACAAGTATATGTACTCATCTTTATTCAAATACATAAGGATATATGGATACATTTATTATATATAAGCACATCCATATACATGTTCATACATAAATATACACACATGCATACATTCCTATTTATGTGCTTGTGTGTGTATGTCTATATGTAGTTCTTCCCCAAGTAATTTATGTTTTCAGTTTTATTGGATTCTGAATTATTTATTGAATAACAATTGAATTCAATAATTTCTAACTATGGAAAATCTGCGTTTGTACCATGGTTTCAAGGATGTATCAATATTAGGGAAAACATTTTTAAAAATCTCATAATAAATTGTTAAAATTAAAAATAACCCACACATCTCAAATCATATAATTATATTAATTTCTGCAAAAAAGAGAGAAACCTTTGGGAAAAAATACAATACTAATTTATGCTAAACACAAAAAAATACTATATTGTTTCTAGGAATAGGAGTCACTTTTAATATTATAAAAAGTAAATAATTAAACTCCAACCCTAGCATTATGTGCAAAATAAATCACCAGAATCTTTCCTAATAAGTAAAAACTAATACAAAGTAAGGATATCCATTTTCCCCATTCTTATTTTATCTAATTCTAGAAATATTATTGTTAGCAATAAGATGAATACATACGACAAGAAGAGAAATCCATCTTTTTTTATACCAGTAATAATGGCTTATTTAGAATTCCTTAGAGAATTAAGAAAGAAACTCTGGGTTATTTAATAATTTTAACATAGTAGCAGGTTATAACATGCACATACATGCACACACACATACACGCACACCAATCAATAGCACCTCAGTATGGTAATAACAAATCTAAGAGAAAATAATGGAAAGGAAAGCCTTATTCAAAATAACTACACAATATGTAAGATTTGTTTTTAAGGAGATGAAGTGAGAATAGCACTTTTAGACATGCTTCTAGACATTCTAGACATTCCTAGATATGAAATAGCATTTCTAGACATGAAATCATACTCTGAAGCAGGAATAATCAAAACTGCTACTTGTTTTAAAAAACAGAAAGGTTAGGGCACAGGGACAGATTAAAAATGGCAGAATTAAAAAATGAATTCAATAACTCAATGTTCAATAAACCAGAGACCATGAAGTACATGGAAAAGGATTTCCTATTTGATAAAAAACTACTATAGACACTATAGCTAGTTTAGCAAATAATAAGAAATGACCAATATCTACTACTATTTAATATCTACTACATAACATTTTACTACTACTACAATATCTACTACATAATATTTTACAAATGAATAGAGATTGAACCAGTTATTTCATTGGTGGACAGTACTTTCAGATGAAGAAACTCATTCTGACAGTTCTGTCTTCTCTGTAACTTAAAATCTTAAGAGTAATCTGGAGTGTTGAGAAGTTGTCATCGACCCAGTATAATACAGTCAATATATGTCAGACAGGATTTTAAATATGGAGAAAGTCAATGGTGGAGGGTCTATATAAAAACTGGTACCCCAATACAGTTCTGGTGAAATTGTTAATTGTTCCAAAATTTTTGGAAAGCAAATTGGAATTGTGGGGACAACATGTCTAAAATACTCATTATAATTGACTCAGAAATCCCACTGCCTGGCATATGCTCAAAAGTACATAAAAGACAAAAGAAAAATTTTCATTTACACCGACATACAAAATGTAACACCTTTTGAAGTAGCCAAGAACTGACAATGAAATTGGTGCCCGTTGATTAAGGAATGGCTGAACAAATTGTGGTACCTTAAAGTAATGGAATATTGAACTTACTTATTCAAAGCAAATTAAGCACAACCAGTAATGCAATATACTGGACAGAACCAAAATATAAAAGTAAACTTTGGGCAAACATGAAAAGCAACCATAGCTCAGGTGAAGAGTTGAAAAAATAAAACATCTCTTTCCCTCCCTCTAATGCAAAATAGTAATAGTAATCACTAGCATTTATATCATGCTTTAAGGTTTGCAAAATGCTTTACACATAGTATCTTATTTGGTCCTTACAATAACGGCATGAGGTAGTTATTATTATTCCCATTTTACAGTTAAGAAAACAGACTGTGATAAATCAAGCAACTTTCCCAGCATTACTTAGCTAGTAAGTCTGTAGTAGAATTCAAACTCAACTCTTCTTTCCTCCAAGTGCATCAATTTAGCTCCTCCACCTTAGCTGCCTGTTAAAGAACACTGTGCATGTGTGTGTGTGTGTGTGTGTGTGTGTGTGAGAAATATTACATATTCTGTCAGATATGGTTGTTGTATTAGTTAGTTTTAATGGACTACTCTTCACTTTTTATTCTTTTTGGATATACAGAAATAACTGACCTAAAATAAAAGCACACTTTTTAGAAAGGGTAAAAAGAACTTTATAACTTATAAGCTGGTCCCTAGCACCATGTTTTGAAGATAATAAATGCTTAATAAATATTTTGGTTTTGCTTTTACTTTTTCATTAGACATTTTTGCTTTTGTTTCTTAAATTGTCCTTTGTGTGTTTCAATGTAATCAGTAGACTCTTAAAAGCCTCACATTTACTGTTGGAAAACCAAAAGGTAGCTTAGGGTTATAAGATGCTTTTTTTAACCCACTAGGAAATTCTTCCTTATATCTAGTTTATAGCCCTTTTGATTTTGTTGTAGGCTAAGATTTCTTTTTTCTCAGTCCTTTATCTGAGAATATGGACATTGAGAATTAATGGCTAGCAAATTCTTTAACACCAATGTTTTCAGGTTGCTTTACTATTATGTAAGATAAATTTGGGAAAATATACCTAGAATTTCTGCTGTATGAAGTAATAAAAGTGAGAAAGAGAAAAGATGATTAATTTTGGCATCTTATTCTTCAGTCCCTTCAAAGTTCTGTAGGATTGAGATGGGTGTTTGTGATGGGAAAGGCAGATGACAAGGAGCAGCAGCGTGTGGTGCATTAGAAATAATTTTTGATATTGTGTTTGAATGTCAGGATTTTAGTCACAGTTCTTATACTTACTACTTTAGATGACCTTGAGTAAGTCATCTTTTTAGTGCCTTAGTTTCTTTATCTATTTGATGAGAGTTTTGGATTAGAAGACATTTAATGTCATTTTCTTCTCTAATATTCTGTGTCCCTAAGGTACTACCATTTGGAGGTTTGAACCTATTATTTGTGACTAGTGTAAAACTTATTTACCCTGATTCCACAGTGAAGGTGCTGAAGACATTAGTTGATTTGATTTACTGGCTGAGAGGAGGAAACAAAAATGAAAGTCTGTTTGCATGAGCTTACCTGTGTGTGCCAGAAATAATTTGTTTCTAATTTTCCTACTTCCTTTTTAAGATAGAAATGGACTTTAACTCTCCATTATTAAAAAAAAAAGCTTCATTCTAGAGATCTGGGAGTCAGATTTTGCTCATCTGGCAAAAACTAATGAAATTCTTTGGCAACTATATTAATCTTTTATTGTGCTCCCTTCCTTCTCTGAGATGAGTGTACATACCAAATGTAATATTCACTTTCATTTTCACTCTCAGTATCAGTGAATTTTAAGAGCCATGGCTGGTGAGTGGGGTCTTTCTTTTCTAAATGTTAGGGTGTTTGAGGTGGTTATGGATTGTTAGTGTGGCTGGGATTCAAGGTAGAAGGAACTAGGTGGGATGGGATAATGAACAGTAGGGAGAGGTACTACTTTCTGAAGTTTAAACTCTCCTTAAAGGAGTTTTATGTAGGAGTATGAGAACAAGAATCTAGGAACTTGTTCCCATTTCCAAACTTCTTAAAAAAATAATGAAGGGAAAGAAACTGATTTGATGTTAGTACCTTATTTTTTCCCCTGTAGTTTCTTTCAGAACAGAATTTCTTTCTTTATTTTTTGTCCTTTCTTCTGTTCTGCTGCTTTCCAAGAGTATGAGGAATTAAGTCACAGAAACTGTCTCTCCTCAGCTTCATAGAAATATGTTACATCTAGAGGTGGAATGGATGGTAGGGATCATTTTGTCTCAAACTTTCAATTTACAGGGGAGAAAACAGGTCTAAACAGATGAAGTTACTTACACAGAGTCACCTAACAAGTTACTGACAGGATCAGAAACTAGCCTAAGTCTTATGATTCCTTGTCTGGTGTCCTTTTTCCTGTGAAAACTGATTATTTTTTTTTCTAGTCTGGAAAGGAAGGAAGAAAGGAGAAAGGAAAGAAAGAAAGAAAAAAGAAAGTCTTAATTAAATGTTATCTATGGTGCCTTCCTGTTGTAAAATGAATGATTATCTCATTGAATCTCCATATAAAGACTGAATGGTTGGTTGTCTTTTCCACAGAACAAAAGCAAAATTTTTATCCTGTGAAGATTGTGAAATGTTTGGTCAGTACCTTTGTTGATGGTGTTATTGATGACCTGATAGAGAAGGATGTTTTGAGTTCAAATGAGATGAAGAATTTAGGAAAAGAATTTACTACAATTATGGACCAGAGTGAAGGCCTGGTTAATACCCTGGATCAGATAATCCAAGGAAACAAAATTATTATGAAGAAACTATTACTTCCCTCTCTACAAGTAAATTCAGGTAATGTTCATTAACTCGGTCTAAATGACAGACATTATGCTTTCTATTTCTTAATCAGGGGTTCTTAACCTTTCTCATTTCAGGGACAGCTTTGGCAGTATAGAACTTTTTTCAGAACACTATATTACATAATTTCATGAAACATTAAATATCAGTTACATATTAGCAAAAATAAAAATAATCTATAATGTTTTCCTCATCCAAGTTCATGAACCTCAGGTTAAAAAATCCCTGTTCTAAGTAGTATTGAAAAAAAAAAAACTTGGAACAAAATATTGTCTTTGTCTCTAATTCCAGTCAGCTTCGGTAGTGTGGATTAACTCTGTTCTGGGGACCATTTAAGTTTAATGTCTGGAAGGGCTTGCTTGTTTCAAAATCCATTCTCCATGCAATTATCACATCGATCTTTTTAAAATATAGATCTGACCAAATCACCTCTTCCCCAATTCAGTAAACTCCAAAGGATCTCCGTCACCTCATTGATCATTCTGTCTTTGGCTTTTAAAGCCCTTCATAACCTTAAACCTTTCTTCCTTTACATTTTTTTAAAAATCTTACCACCCTGAAAAAAAAAGAAATTAAAGGGGCAACTAGGTTGCACAGTGGTTAGAGCACCAGCCCTGGATTCAGGAGGACCTTAGTTCAAATCTGGCCTCAGACACATAACACTTACTAGCTGTGTGACTCTGGGCAAGTCACTTAACCCCATTGTCTAACCAAAAAAAAAGAAAAAAAAGAAAAGAAATAAAAATCTTACCACCCTGCATGAATTCTATATTTCACTGGCTAGCTTACTGTACCTCACAAAGGGCTTTCCATCTCCTACTTTGAGCATTTTCGGTGGACTTTCACCATGGTTAGAACATTTTATCTCAGTCTCCTAAATTCCCTGGCTTCCTTTAAGGTACAGCAAAAGTCTCATTTGCCAATGTGCTTTTCCTTGTCCTCTTTAATTTTATTGTTGTTGGGGAAGGAAATAACAAACCACTCCAGTATCTTGGCCAAGAAAAAACACCAAAAATGGAGTCACATAGAGTCAGATATGACTGAAAAGACCGAACAACAAAAGTCCTCCTTGATTTTTTGTGCCTTAGACCTGAGACTACTTACAATTTATTCTGGATATTATGTTTCCCCAAATAGACTATGAATTCATTGAAGGTAGCAATTGTCTTTTGCCTTTCTTGTATTCTTAGTTATAGCACAGTGCTTGGCGTATAATATGTATCTAATACATGTTACTTGACTGACTGACTATTCTAGCATGAAAACTCGATCTCCTAATTCAAGGGATTTTCACTGCCTTTCCCCCATACCTGGAGTCTTCTCCCTTCTGGCTTCCTTCAAGTCCCAGCAAAAATTTCCATATTTTATGAGAAACCTTTCTTGATACCCCTTAATGATAGATACTTCTCTCAGTTCATTTTCTCCAATTTCTCCTGTCTATATCTTGTTTGTACATAGTTGTTTTCATGTTGTCCATGCCATTAGATTGTGAGCTCCTTGAGAGAAGGGACACTCTGCTTTTCTTTATTTCTCCAAGTGTTTAGCACAGTGCCTGGCACATTGCAGACACTTAATAAATATTTGTTCACTGATAATTGCATATAATGATTCAATCAATTCCAAGGCTTCATAATACCATTAGATCTATCCCCAAAATTTTTAGTTATTAAAGGTTAAATCACATCTTTATGTCAAGCCTTCTCTTCTCATATTCATATATTCTATTTGGAGCACTTATGATTTCCAGAATTCCCGCAAATCCTAAAAGAATTTGGCCTAGAGAATATTGTCCCAGTATCAGAAACTCTCATTGACTATTCACCTTTTTTTTCCCATTGTTGCCTCAAGTGCTCCCAAGTCAACCTTAGATCAATAGATGTGGGCAACAGGAAACGCTTAATAATTTAGTATGGATTAACTATGACTCAGCCTCAGTGATAAAATTTTTTGAGGTCAGCTAGCTATTGGGATAGGAGTTAGGGGTGGTGGATATTGTGGCAAGTGAGAAAGGAACAATTCCTTTGCATTTTTCTAAATCTTGCATACTTCTCTAGTGTTTATGGATTCCCTTTATGACTTACATATACTATCCATGCAGTGAACAGGGACCTTTCTTCATTATTCAACATGAGACATATTCCTTCACATGGATTCCCAATTGAGATAATTTCCTCAATTTTATCCTGTTGATACTAGAGAATAGAAGAGCCATTTTCACCCACTTTTATGTTTCATGCATGTCATTAAGAATTCGTTTCCTTATTCACTGACCAGGGATATCAGATATAAGCTTGGATTTCAAGAATCCCTGTGGCTTCCAGGCCAGTCATAAATTCAAGAGGAATAGCTTATTTGTAATACTATTTAAGGAAGTTCTAGTACAAAGAGAAGAACATTCTTCAGAAGACTGTGAGACACTCATCTCCTCCTCTTTCATTTCCCTTTAGGAAATCAAAGAGAAGACAAAGCTTTGGCTCTTTTCCAGAAGTCAGAAACAATGGAACACATTTTATCAGGTAACAATATCTCCAAATAAAGAAGAGTTGTCGCCTACTATCTCTACCATGTTCCTTGAAGAATCATGAAATGAATCTAATAGTGCTAAACAGAACTGTCCTCAAATCAGTGCCATGATATTATGGAAAGAGTCCAAGAATAGAGATCAAAAGAACTGAGTTTGAATCACCTCTTCCACTTCTTACTGTATGTGATTATGGAAATAATTTAAAGGAAATAAGCCTCAGATGTTTCACATGTAAAAGAGAACTAATAATTTTGACCATGCTCTCTCCCAAAGTCATTGAGAAGATCAAAAAAGATAATTGAAAGGGCATTACTTTGGAAACTGTTGAAGATTGCATAAATATATGGTTTTACTATTACTCTAGATGATTCAGGAGATAGAGTCCTGGGCTTGGAATCAGGAAGACCTGTGTTCACATACAACTTCAGACACTTACTAGCTGTGTGACTCTGGGCAAGTCACTTAACTCTGTTTGCCTCAGTTCCTCATCTATAAAATGAGCTGGAGAAGGAAATGGTAAACCATTCCAGAATCTTTGTCAAGAAAAACCCAAAAGGGGTCATGAAGAGTTAGACACAACTGAACAACAGTAGTTAAAAGGCATATAATTATCTTTCCACAAATACAAGAAATAGTTTGGAGAATAGTGGAAATACCTCCCAGATACCACATAAGGAAAAGTCTTACTACATCCATCTGGAATAGGGCTTACAGTGAGTTTCAATGAACAGAAGTTCGGGGAGGTATTCTTTCCCCTGTGTCTATTTATAGTTCCAGAAGTATTCTTTTTTTGCCCAATTTCTTCAATTTTGAGCTACAGGAACTTAAAACCCTATTTTACTGAAATCTTAAGATTTAGCCTTTGTAAGAAACCTCAGAGGTCACCTTAATCGAATTCCTTTCATTTGAATAAGGATACTGAGACTCAGAATAGGAAAGTGATGTACAAGAGAGCCTATGCCATCAGAAGTAAAACAGGAATCTCAACCCATAAAGTATAATTAATTCTCCTAAGAATAATTTTCCAATTCTGCTGGAATAATTTTATTTTTATTTAAAAAGAAACTAGACTCAATATTTCTTGTTTGGAAAATCAAATCAAATTAATATTTTTTTTTCTTTTCTAGTCCTTCAGATTATATGTAATTCTCCAGGATCCTTTCAAAATTACTGAAAGAGACTCAGCAGCACCATCTTTCAGTTGTTTAAGAAACTTGGTATGTCATTTGTCTGACTCTAATAACTCAAATCATTGAGAACATAGAGTTTCTGTTACAATCTCTCCTTGATAATTTTTTTTTTTGGAAAGACACTCCCTGTTGTATATTCCCATTTTCACCCTCAGCATAAAAATCATTCTCCTTGGGAAAGAAAACAAAAACAAAATAATTTTGTCAGTGTTTTTTTTTTTTAACTGTCATCTATTTTCATGATCCTATTTTCTCTTATTAGTTCTAGTCTTCTTTTTTATCCTTTCCTTAACTCAAAACAAAACAAAACAAACAAAAAAAAACCCCTTCTTTTATGATCCTGGACATTTTCACCAGCCTCTATTCATTTTGGGAGTCAATATTCTTAACATTATTCTTTGACAGAATGACCAAGGTTTGAGCTCTCCTAAAGAGATAAGTAGATGAGTCTGGGTAGAGCACAATTTTTCTGCTCAAGAAGCATTTGAAAAGTAAGGCTAGAATGTTAGGTAGCAATCAGTTTTTCGGTAGCCTTGAAAATGAAGAAAGGGTGTTTTGACCTTATTTTGTAAGCAATAAAGAACAGCTAAACAAGACTGCAGTGATAGAGGTTTGTCTTTGTGAGACTAAGCTGGCAGTAAGGTTCAGTATAGCTAGGAGTCAAAAAATGTCAGAATCGAGATGCCAGTTAGGATGTTATTGAAGTAATGACAGTGTCAGATTGTAAGAGCCTAGACCAAAGTAATATTGGGAATGTAAAGGAAGGGATGAATTTAAGGGACATTGCCTAGGATGAATAAAAACAAATTGGTAATTGACATAGGATATAGAGGGAAATATTCTGTCAGAATCAAAAGGCCACTGAGATTTGGGATGCGGGGGACTTGGAGAATAATAGTATCATTATCAGAAATTGGGAAGTCAGGAGAGTAAAGGGATTAATAAAGAGAGGTGATGATTTGGGACTGAGAGTATGAAACATTCTTTCTACCAAAGCAATTTGCATTCATTTTCTCAGCTGTCCTTTTAAATGCTATTTTCCCAGGATGACAACAGACAGGCGTATAGAGTCAGGAAGAAGTTCAGAGAAAAAAAATAGTCTTCATTAATTATTTCTTTCTATTTTCGTCTAGACTCTAATGCAATACAGGTTACTGCACCCCCAAACCAGATCAAGCTTTGCAGACCAGATTTCTATAATGGACTGAAGGAAGCAAAGGAGGGAGAGGTACAATGTTAAGTAAATAGTTGCTTTCAAAAATGACATTTATCTTGCTCAAATATAGAAGGTAGAGAAATACTACAAGTTTCTTTCTAAAGCCTAGATATGCCTTCAGATCACCCAGAGGCTATATAGAATTCCCTGATCTCTTCATGTCTATGCCTTAGGTATCCTGTTTCTTTTAATCTGAGTCTAAAATGCACTGTCTTGATTCTCCCCTGAAGCCCCTTAAAATATATGTCTGATACTGGTTCTTATTATTAGTCCTGTTGACTTTTAATTCAATTAGCAAAATATCTAATTGAAAAAAAATAACAGGTATTTACTTTGTTCCTAATAGTCTACTTAATTCTGCAAGAGGTACTGAGATAACTGAATCAGAGATCTTTTCATTAAAGAGCTTATTCAAGCTGGGTAAGGGGATAAGGCAAGGACATAAGTAACTGTATCCTGTATGGGAGGCTATGATCATTGCCATAGAGACATGGAATAATGATGTCATGTTGTTTGGGAACAAAAATTAATTAAGTTCAATTTATTCTCAATTGATAAAAAATTTATTTATTGAGCACCTCTAATATATGAGGCACTTCCCTAGGGATTAAGAATACAAAATAAAAAATGAAACCACCTCTGCCCTTGAACAATTTAGGCCATACTATGTGAACATAGATAAAAAAATAAAAGCTAATCTGTGGAGGGTAGGGAAAGGGCACAAGCAATTATTAAGCACTTATTATTTTCTGGGCACTAAACTAAGTACTTTACACATATGCCATTTCATCCTCACAAAAACCCTGTGAGATATGTAATATTATGATCCTTTTTTTTACAGTTGAGGAAAATGAGGTAGATAGAAGTTGAGTGACTTACTCAGGATCATATAGCTGGTACATGTATGAGGCTGCATATGAATTCAGATCTTCCTGATCCTAGGTCCAAAGCTCTATGCACTGTGCCACTTAGCTAGAGTAATTTAGCACTAACACCTAGGGGATATGGAAAGACTTGATGCAGAAGGCAAAACCTGAATTAGCATTGAAAGAAGATAAGGATTCTGAGTGGCATGATGAGGAAGGGTGAGAAGGGAGTATTTTCAAGTGTGGGACAGCTGTGAAAAGGTATCTAGATATAAGAAGTGGAATGTCAAGTTTGGAGAACAACTAATAGTCAAGTATTCTTGAAACACAGTGCATGAAGGCAAATATTATAAAAGATAGGCTGGTACCAGATTGTGGCATTCATCAAATGTCAAGCTAGAGAATTTGTATTTTATACAGAGTCACTAAAGATTTTGTATAAAGGGAATAGCAAAGTCATATCTATATTTAAGAAGATGTTTTTAGGAAGTAATGTCCAATAGGGATCAGAAAGGGGAAAGGGACATGGGAATAGGAAAGCAGGGCATGGGAAGACCAATTCAAATTGGATATAGAAGAGGTGATGAGTATTTGAACAAAGGGAGGGTCCATGTGAGTAAAGAGAAGGAGATGAATACCAAAGATGTTTTAGAGGTAAATTTCACAAGACTTGGCAACTGAATGAATAGAGAAGGTGAGGGAGAGACAATAGTGAAAGTGAAATGACTTGAGGTTATATACCTTGGTGACTGAATGAATCTAGGTAACCCCAAATAGAAATAGGAATTTTTAGTATAGGAGTAGTTTTGGAGTTCAGAAAAATAAGTTCCAGTTGGATATGTTGAATTTCAGATGCCTACAGGATATCCAGGTGTAGGTATTAAATACAATTGTTTATGTACGACTAATATGGTTGGTAGTAGTCAATTCTGTAGAGACAATAGAATCCATGGGATGTGATGAAATATCCAAGGGTAAGAAAGGATTAGTGGTCAAGACAAAGAGTTAGGGGCTGATTGATGGATGAGCATCTATTCAATGAAAATGAAGAAACAGCTATACTTGTACATAGAAAGCTAAGGTAGTATTGAATTGAAGATAGGTCTTGAAGTAATTGTAGAATAGTCAAAGATAGAAAACAGGGCAAAGGAAAGGAAGTATTCCAACAATCTGAACAAAGACATGGAAGTTATGAAAACAAAGGACATGGTAGAGGAACAACTAATAATCCAATATACTTTCATCATTTGATTCATGTAATAGAGAAATAAGAACAAGAAATAACATTGCTCTCTCAAAATATTCTTAAATGCAATTCCTAACAATAAGGTAGCCAAGGATAAATTGTTTCAGCTATTATGAGCATTAAGTTGACAGCTCTTTCTAGGCTCTGAAATGGAATGTAGAGTAGGATTTGACTAGTTCATTCCATATCTGTTCCTTGCAGATATATCCCATCATGGAGAAGGGGACCCGTGCACGTCTAGCTCTCATCATCTGTAATATTATGTTTGACTACCTCGATGAACGACATGGGGCTCACCTTGACATTTGGGAAATGTGGAAACTACTTGAAAACCTTGGATATAGTGTGGTTGTCAAAACCAACCTTACAGCTCAGGTATAAGGCCACATTCTTCCCAATAAGACTCAGCCACCTCTCTGGCTATAGCAGCAGGGCAGAATCTCATGGGCCAGGGATTTTATTTGTTGTCGGATTACTAATGTTTAATACCCTTCAATGCAGTCTCATAGCACGACTTAGACAAACTCCAAAGCAGTGATTTGGTATGCCTTCTATTTATAGGTGGGTCTCATTGAGATGCTATTGCCTCTTTAGTACTGCCACTAACTGCTTCTAAAAGGCACCATCTTAATTGTGCTCTGTAGATAATTATCTATTTTTTTTCCTGTGAGCTTTCCTATCTCATTGCTGCAATGCAAAATTTCCTAGCCACTATCTTCATCCATGACCCCAGATTTTTCAAGATTTATAACAATTTTAATGCCAAGTTTATGTCTGGTGAGGTTTCCTAATCATTAACTATTCAGTGCCCCTCAGGAAATGGAGTCAGTGTTGAAAGAGGTTGCCGATTGCCCAGAACATTGGTGCTCTGACAGCACCTTCTTGGTGTTCATGTCTCATGGCCTCTTGAATGGTATCTGTGGAAAAACACATACAAAGCAAGAACCAGACCTGCTGGCTACAGATACTATATTCCAAATTTTCAATGATAACAGCTGCCCTGGTCTAAAAGGCAAACCCAAGGTCATCATCATCCAAGCATGCCGAGGGGGTGAGTGCTCACTTATCTGTTGTCCTAAATATATTCACACACTGAACTGGAAATCTGAAGCTATAATCCACACTTTCCCAGAGGAAATATACCAGCTACCTTACTATGCTCCTCTCTCTATTCCCTAGAGAAATTACACCAAACCACATACCATCTACACACTACATACTATCCCATAAAAGCATCACAGAGTGGGCTAGCTTTATGTGAATTAGTCTGTACTAATGGACGTGAACTATACCATATAGGTACATCCCAAATTGAATTCAGTACTTTGTTTATTCTATAACAGCAGATTTCTTTTAGTTTAGGATTACAAAGCTCTAAATTGATTTTCACTTGATTAATACTAGAAAACAAAGACAAAGGTAAAACAGATTTTATATGTATGTGTGTCTGTGCATGAACAACTCTGGATAGTAACTGTGGTAACGCTGTTGGGAGGAGGGCAGTAACTGATGGATCACTTTGTTCTTAGAGAAACTTGGAATCACATATGTGATGGATGCATCAGAGACTTTAGCAGACACACCCAAACAACCCTTGCAAGATTACTCAAGCAGTACTTCACTGGAACAGAAGTGCATGGAGAAAGATTTCATTTTATTTTGTTCTACAACACCACGTAAGTGACTTCCAGGAAAGGAATTTTCAACTCCTTCACTAGTGCCTAGGCACTGTTCTTGCCAATTTTCCTTTCTTGTCTTGCCAAGTAATCTGTGCCTTAGGTGGCCTAGAAGCTTTCATTTGTAGGGTAGATCATATTAGGGATGCCCTAATGTGTCAAAAATAAAAATTGATATTTTTTATCTTGTTTTTGTTTGTAACTTAAGTAATTTATTGTTAATTTTTAGAAGAGCACTTCAGTTTTAGTTCCTTTAATTTGATTAATAATATTGGTAGGATATCCATTTGCCTCGAAAATAAATAAATGGAAGTCTGTGGGTACATACTTTTATAAAATGGGAGCACACAGTCACAGGGTAGAATGCAATAAAATTAGTTTATGTTTGGGATGTATGGGATATTCACACCTCTGATGTGAGGGTTTTGTGAGCTCTTCTCAGGGGATGCTCATTCACCATTGTTGTCCGGCTGTCACCATCTCTCACCTGTAGCTCCAAGAAGCTCTAGCATGTGCAGTAGACATACCCCAGTAAACCATCCTGGTAGATGGGCTATGCCAGGTTGTAGCTAACCAACTGGCCTCAAATTCTTCAGTGAGTTATGGGGTTGTCTACCCCAAGCGTGTAAAATCTTTCCCTGGCAGAATGGGTGGATGAGAGCAATTTGTTCCAATGTCCTTGAAAGTGGCTAAAGCAGGCACTGTGTAGTGTGTAGAGCTTGGCCAGACATCAAAGACAACAACATCATCCACTGAGTCCCAGGTCATTGCCTGTCATCTTGACTTTTGTCCTGCCACTGGACTTTGATGACCAGAAGATAGACCAGGGCTGATGCCTTTGTGCAGCTCTGTCTCACTTAAATCCAATTCATGTACAAGTCAAGGCACCATCCATGATGTCACTGGTTTTCTTCGATAATGAAGGACAAACAAAAACAATAACAACAACAACAGCAACAACATTACAGTTACATAGTTATAAGAATTGTCCCTTTGGTGGTTTCTAGGGAATTCCCCATACAAATGGGCCAGAAATAAAGATTCAAACTCAAGGCATTCCAAGTACTTCTGTGGCTCTTCTCAGAACACAGGTCCTTGGCACCTAATGATCTGTAATCACATGGAACATATGCAGGCACTAAATCCAGCCAACCAGGTGTAGCTGCAGTACTTGTTTTAAATCTTGAGGGTCCTTCGACCAATTCTAACATCTGGAATTGGATAAGAGAAAGGGGGAAATTCTTTGTATCTAGTGTCCTTTGTACCTATTTCTCTTAGATCATTATGGTGAATGGACTGATGTTCAGTGGGAGGAGGTCTCAGGACAGACTTTTGCCACCTCCTGGTCAAGCATCTACTGTAGAAGCTCCATGAGATCTATTAATCAATGGGTCAGTCAGATAGTAAATAATATTTGCTGATTGCCTGCCCTATATAGATATGGAGAGAGAAGGAAATAGAAGAGCAGGGTCCTATCCTAATTAACCCTCTAGTTACATATAGAAATGGTAGGAGGTAAAGTGGAAAGGACATTGGATTTGTTGATCTTGGTTCAAATGATACGTATATCTCTTATCTCCTGTGTAATTTTGGGCAAATCATTTAATCTATTTGACCCCAATTTCCTCATCTGAAAAATTGGGATTATGAGCTAGATGACTTCTAAAGTGTCTTCCATCCCCTAAATCTATGATCCTAAAATTTTTGTAGTAAAGTGCATTTGGAATCAGAAGACCTAAGTTCAAACACCACCTTTTTACTTATCTATATGACTTCAAATAAAACATTGAACTTCCACTGGCTTCATTTTCTATCTGTAAAATGAAGGCTTTAGACATGATGACATCTATGGTTCAAATTAAATTGAGAGCATATTTAAGTCAACAGAATACGATGAAAATTAGATTTTCTAAGTATACATATGCATGGAATACAGTCATATTTAGGTCTTCATTACTTTTTAGATAATAGTTTATCCATTGACCTGCATTCTGTCATGACCATTGTTTACTTTTCATTAACTTTAGACTACCTTTCACAAAACTAGACCATTCAAGTTACAGTATTGATACATTTATTAGCATGAGAAGTAAGAGTGGTGAGGGGTGTGGTGATAAGACTTTCCATAGCTAAAGAGTTTAATTATAGCATTCTGCACTGGGACAGAATAGCCTATCATTATGTATGCATGTCTCTTTGGAGTCTTACTCTTTGAAAGACCTCTGCCTACCTTTCTCCTTCTTTACTATGACTTCCTTTTTCTTTGCTATCTCTTATTCTCCTATAACTCTAGTGCTTGAGCTCTTTTGCTGGAGCTATTGCCACCATCAACCTGTGATCCTCCTACCCCGTCTCAGTTTCCCCTAATACACACACACACACACACACACACACACACACACACACACACACACATACACATCTTTCCTTGCAACATCAAATGTTTTGCCCTACTTTGGACTGTCTTTTAGTTTGACTTTCTTATATTAATCACAAAAGCATCGAATGAGGTTATCTCAGGTGTTATATCTCTCAAGGAATATTGTATAATTTTTACATAGAAATGGGAGATAACTTGTGGGAGAGGATCCTTTAAAGCAACATTTTACATGACAGAGTCAAATTTTAATAGTCAACAAACAATAAGCAAAATGAGTTCTTGTGCTTTCAATATTTTAACTGATGTGTGATGGCAAGAATGTGATCTGCTGTGGAATATTCTGTGTTGCCTGTCTACTTCCAATAACTTAATCAGGGATGTCCTCCTGTTTTGCACATTATTCTCATTAAAATGTTCTATAACATATTTATGTATGCATATACATTACATATATACATATACATGTTCATATTTATATATGAAAGTAAGCATGTGAGTTAGTAGTTGTTAATGATTATGGTCATTTTAAGGTCTGAGATGTTTCCTATACCTTTATTATCTTTGCTCCTTGCAGATAACTCAAGAATTAATCCCTCAAAGACCTAAAAATGGAATCCTTTCTAGCACAGATATCTTATCTGTACCTTTTTTATATTTTCACTGCTTTCCCAACTTGGTTCTCTTCAGTGATATTTCTACCTCCTTTATAACATCCAGAACTAAATGATATTAGAGTTTATGTGGTGATTCCTCTGTATTTGTTGTTGAAATGAGATTATTAGTTAAAAAAAATGTTTCCAGGTCTTTTTCCATTTCTTATTTGTTTGATGCCTTCCTTACAGTTTCATCCTTAAAAGTCATTGTGATGACTGTCCTTGGTTCTTTTGGCTATCTTTCTCTAAAGATAATGTCTCATCATGTTGTACTAATATTACTCAAGAATATGGCTATTTGCACATGCTTGAGGAATAGTATTATAAATAAATAGTATTTATTAAAAATTTTTTTATTGAATCATGTATTTAATTGATTTTTTTCCTTCTTGCCCAACTGATCCAGACTGAAACAATGCTAAATTTTAATCTCCCAGTCTTCTCCTAAAGTGAATGTCACAGTTATGAACTTTATTAACTCTTTTATTTTCAGATAATGTTTCATGGAGAGTTGACATAAGGGTTTCTGTCTTCATCAATGCACTCATTTACTGCTTTCAACAATACGCCTGGTGCTGTCACTTGGAGGAAGTTTTCCGCAAGGTGAGTTTCTTTCTATTTGCCCCATTGTCATTCCCATTGTATTTGTAGACTCTCCTCCCATTCCCATCCCATTGAAAACCTCAAGGTGTGAGAGAGAAAAGAGAAATTTTTGGACCAAGATTTTCTTTCTGAGTTTCTTATAGACGAGGAAGTAGATTGTAGAAATAGATGCTGATTGAGGTTCCTCACACATGTAATCAAATAGTAATTTATCCCAATACCCCAAACTCTATTTAAAGGAGTTGTATAAAAATCTGAGGAAAATAGAGGCAAATTTTGTAGTAACCTACTTATAGTCTTACCTATCATGTGAATCAGCAAATATTTGAAGTTTTTTTTTTTGCCTGAAGTGACCCTTCATTGCTTTATAGTAAATCTCTTTCTTAGTTTTTGATTATCATAGTCACTTACTTGTCTAGCTTCTAAACACTGCCTGGAATACTCAGGATCCCTTAAGGTTATGACTCAACAGTACCCCTTGTCTCCAACTTTATTTTCTTCATTATTTTTATGAGCAATTTTTTTTTCTAACAACCCCCATCATCTCAATATCATATTCCCTGCCAGGAAACTGACAATGTAACTCAAGCTATATTGTTCACTAATGACCTATGGAAGGATTTTCTTTCCAGAAGTTTATCTATGGAATTTCTTTTTCATTGAAGGTCCAGAAATCATTTGAGATTCCAAAGACCCTTGTCCAGATGCCCACCATTGAAAGGGTGTCCATGTCAAGATATTTCTACCTATTCCCAGGAATATAAAATTAATCAATAACACTAACAATTAAGAGCAATTCAGGTAAGTGGTTCCAAGATGAGAGAGAATGTATTCTCTCTACTCAGGGTCAATAATTAGAAGGCCATACTACACAGAAAAATGGTGGTCAGGGTCCACCTGCCCTTAGTTGTCCAGTATTAGCCCAATAGCTTATGTTTACTTGGCAATGATATTGGTGAACCCACTGGCTTTATTTGACCTGGACCAGTACATGGCTATATAGATACACATCAGTCTAATGTGTCCCTAGTGTAATAGTCTAGTGATTATCCCCAAATAGTGAGTGGCCAGTGTTTATTTGCTATGTGTATCCATAGTTATAAAATAGTGGAGGTAAGGCCATTTTGTCAAGCTAGTCTTTAACAAACCCATTCAGTTGTAAATGATACTTCTTAATCAGATGAAGACTGGCCACTTTCTTTAATAACTAATTCCTGGTCTGGAGCACTGATGTTTGAGGTGGTCCTCAAACGTAATCCCAGACTTAACTAGGAGAAATATGAGTATGAATGTAATGTTATTAAGGCTCTATTAGTCAATCAACAATCAGTTATTCAGTAATTATCTATATGCTAGAGTCTGTGATAACTTTTGAGATATGAAAACATTGTCTATGAACTCACATTCTAATGGGGGATATAACATGTGAATAACTAGGTAGATATAAGGCATATACAGAATGAATAGAAGACAAATCAGGAGATTTCAAAAGACATCCAATAGAAAATTGGATTAGAGTTGAGCCTTGAAGGAAGTTAGAAAACCTGGAAGGCAAAGGTAAGGATGGAGAGAATTCCAAGCATGGGGGTCAATCAGCACAAAAGTACAGAAATGGAGAAGAGAGTACTATGTTTCAGGAATGCTAAGTGGTATGGTAAGTAAGTAAGGAATGGTCAGTGTAGTTGTAGAGGAGAGTAAAGTACAAGAAGACTAGAAAAGTAGGAAGGGTTCAGCTTGTAAAGACTTTTAATGACAGGACACTTCATATTTGATGTAAGAGATAATAAGGAGCCATCAGATATCAACAAGTAAAAAAGAGACATAGTCAGAATGACACTTTAGGAAAAAAATATTTTGGTTGCTGTGTGGCTGCTCAAAAGGATTGAGAAGATATTTGAGTCAAGGAGACTAAATAAAAAGCTATTGTAAATGTCAAGGAGAAATTGCATGAGGGTGGTGGAAGTTTGAGTAGAGGGAAGGGAACTTATAGGATATCTGTTGTGAAAGTAGAAATGACAAGATTTGATAATAGATTAGACTTGTAGAATAAATGAAAGTGATGATTTGAGGTTATGGGCCTGGGTAACTGGGCAGATAGATGGTTGTATCTTGGACAGTAATAAAAAAAAAGTTAAGAAGAAGGAAAGTTTTGAAGGAAATGATAATGAGTTTTGTTTTGGTACTGTTTCATTTGGGATGTCCATGGAACATCCATTTTCAGATGACAAAAAACAACAACAACAAGAAGAAACAGATTGGTGATGATGAAGGACTCGAGCTCAGGATCATTTTTGGCATTTGCCTTATCAGAAGCTGGCATATGCTATGGCTTAGTTCTGGAAACACACTTTCTCATGACTACTTTCTCTTTCTTTTATTCAGGTGATAATATGCTATGTTGTCCTGAAGAACCTATTATTTCCAGAAGAACATTTAGAGGCACAGAATGTTTTTTAAAACCTGTGCCATCATTACCATACTTTTAAAAATGGACATTTTGGGGGCATTTAGACAGCACAGTGAATAGAGCACCAGCCCTGGATTCAGGAAGACCTAAGTTCAAATTTGGCCTCAGACATTTGACACTTACTAGCTGTGTGACCCTAGGCAAGTCACTTCACCCCACTGCTTCACAAAAAAGTGGACACTTCTATCTCTGTTCTTTTGCATTTCCTTTCCCCTCCAATCCTGAAATACTCTGTCCAAGGAGAATCTCATTTCCAAATCCTATGTTAAGTTGTATACCTTCCAAGAAGTAAACTCTAACAATTTAATTACTCACTTGTATTTCTCTTTCTGGTACCTAAAAACCCTGATTGCTTAAAACATATTTTGTGACATTTGATAGTAATCTGATGTTTTATTTTTAACTTGTGGATATACTTTGTGTTTCCATGTATGCTGCTAGCTCCTTTTGATTAGCAATGATGCTTTCACCCTCACAATCCTTCCTCCCATAATATATGTCCCTTGTTTTTATTAAACATTGGAAAATGTTTTTTATTGGTTTTATATCTGTATTGTTATTTTCTGTTGGTTGCATATCTTACTACTTCTTTATAATATATTCAGATATCTAGTAATATACTTTATGAATATACTTTGTGTTTCCACATATATTGCTAGCTCTTTTTGATCAGTGATGATGCTTTCACCCTCTTTTGTAATCTTTGCATTTCTTAGCATAGTATTGATCACATGATAGGGTTTTAGATAATAGTGATTTTTGATACTGGTTGGAATAAACTACAAAATGCATAAAATACCTAGGACTTAACCTATTGAGACAGAAAAGCAAGATTTATATAAATACAATTATAGAACACTCTTGGCAGAAATGGAAACCAATAAACAAAAAAAAGATACTCACTGTTCATGTTTGGGTTGTGTTAATATAATAAAAAATGATGATACCACCCTAAGTAATTTATAGGTCAAACTACTCAATCAATCAATCAATCAATAAGCATTTATTAAGTGCCTAACACACCAGGTACTGTGCTAAGTGCTGGGGATACAAAAAAAAAAGGCAAAATACAGTCTCTGTCCTCTTATTGGGAAGGACTGACTAAGAAAACACTTTTTAGAATTAGGCAAGATAATAACAAAAAGTATTTAAAGAAACAAAATGCCTAGAATATGAAGGAAAATAATGAGAAAAAGTATAAATGAAGGAGATAGAACATTATTAGATTTCTGAATATATTATAAAGAAGTAGTAAGACATGCAACCAATAGAAAATAGTAATGCAGATATAGAACCAATAAAAAACAGTTTTCAGTGTTTAATACAAACAAGGAACATAAATTATGAGAGGAAGGATTCCTTTTTTGTCAATAACTTCTGGGAAAACAAGAAAGAAGTTCAGAAGAATTTAGAAGAATTTAAACCATATACCCCAATAAGCATTAACAGATAGGTAACCTGAGCCTAAAAGTTATCAAAGTAATTAGAAGACAATAAGAGCAGAGACCTTTCACAAATGTGACTGGGGAAAGGAGTGATTCTTGAGAAAGCAAAAGTGAGGAAATTATACAATGTAATATTGACTTTCTTCATTACATAAAACTAAAAAATGTTTCCATGAATAAAATCAATAATAATAGAATTAAAAGAGAAATGATAGAGTAAGAAAAATATTTACATCCAATATCATCAAGCATATATTATTTAGGAAAGTCTATTATATTCCTATCAAAAATATATAGGAAATTGACATATAAAATGCCAAAAGGCATTCCCTAGTAGAAAACTGTTCAAAGGATAGAAACAATCTGTTTTCAAAGGAAGATTTGCAAACAAAAATTACCACATTAAAACATGCTTTTAATCACTAAGACAAAAGGAGTGCAAATTAAAACAGTTCTGAAGTTTCACTTGCTTCATGGGAATTTGGAAAGATAGAAAACAAATATGGGACAGTAAAATTTGGTGGGTAACTGAGAAGACAGGCCCACCAATGTGACTAAACTTTCCATATCCTTTGACTAAGCAATTCCAGTACTGGGTATATAGCACAAGGAAGTAGAAGATAAAATGAGAAAGATATATATACATACAAACATACATATATATATATATATGCATATATATATACATATTCATGACACACCTTTTTGTTGTGCTAAAGAAATTGGAAATATATTATTAACCATTAAATTAGGAATGACCAAAATTATGCCTTATGAATGTAATATAACAGTATTGTGCAGCAAGAAACAAACAATTAAGAGAAATATTACATACCAATCTGTATGTTAATTCACACAGAGAAAAACACTCAGTACCAAGAAAACAAATACAAAATATCTACAACAATGTAATCTAAAAAAATCACTAAAAGGAAGTTGAACTCTGAGTGCTGGAAAACCAATGAAGATCTTAGAGAAGAGAGGAAGGGCAGCAAACAGGAATTAATCAATCAATTAATTTACTATGTGTCAGGCAGTGTGTTAAGAATTTACAAATAATATCTCATTTGAACCTCACAACTCTGTGAAGCAGGTGCTATGAAGAGATAAGAAAAAATAATTCTTCCTTCTAAGCAGAGGAATAAGATGCCAGAAGATGAGGGACAGAATTCCAGGGATTTGGGACATTTAGCGGAACTGCTTGGACTCCAGAGATGGGATGTCTAGTGTGAGGAACAGCAAGGAGGCCAGTGTCACTGAATCACAGAGTATGTGGGAGTTGGGGAGGGGTATAGAAGGATTAAGAAGATTTGAAATAGAAGAGGAGCTCAGCTTATGAAGGGCTTTGAAAGTCAAAGAAAGAATTTTATATTTGATACTGGAGGTGATCAAGGGAGTTTATTGAGTAGAGGGATGGTGACATGATTGAACCTGTGCTTTGTCCACTTTGACACCTGAATGAAAAATTGATTGGAGTGGGGAGAAACTTGTGGCAGTGAGAGAAACCAACAGAAACCATCTATTGCAATAGACCAAGCATGAAATGATGACTGCCTGCCCCAGGGTAGTGGCAGTATCAAAGGAAAGAAGGAGATACATATGATGGATGTAGAGAGGTATTATTGTAATTTGTATATTTGCACTACTCTCCCATTCTGTTTCCTCCCATCTGCATCATTTCAAGACTTAATCATATTTATATGGCCTCCTCACAGTCACTGCTTATTACAGTACAATTATATACTAATACATTCATATGTCAAAAAATTCAGTTATTTCTGAATTTATGGGCATGAGAAACTTTGTTTTGTATACTTTGACATCATAAAAAAATTACTATGATAATTTTGATATCTAAAGGATTCAGTTAAAATTCAGATGAGAAATACTTCTGTTTGGAACTTACCATGCAAGTTTTTCACTGGCTGTTCATATCCTTTGACTATTTATCAAATTGGCCAATGACTTGTATTGTAAATTTGACTAAGTTTTCTCCATATAAGAGAAATAAGGACTTCATCAAAAACACTGGCTGTAAAAATTGTTTCCCAGCTTTCTGCTTTCCTTCTAATCTTATTATTTTCTTCAGTATTTTTTGTGTATCCTTTACCAAGCTGTTGACTCATTTTTCATGATTTTCTTGCATCACTTTTATTTCTCTTCCCAATTTTCCCTCTACTTCTCTTATGTGATTCTCAAAATCCTTTTTGAGCTCTTCTATGGCCTGAGACCAATTCATATTTTTCGTGGAGGCTTTGGATGTAGGAACTTTACCTTTGTTGTCTTCTTATGAGTGTATGTTTGATCTTCCTTGTCACCATAGTAACTTTCAATAGTCAGAATTGTTTTCTTTTCTTTTTCCCTTGTTTTCATTTTATTACTTGACTTTTAAGTCTTTATTAAATTAGGGCTCTGCTTCCAGAGTGGAGAGTGCACTATTCCAATTTTCAGGGGGCTTGTGCAGATGTTTTCAGAGATACTTCTAGGGACCTGTAAGTTTTCAGTTCTTTCCAAGGTGGTTTGATCTAAGGAGAAGTGTTTACTACTCTGCTGGCCTGTGCTCTGGTCTGAGAGAGACAACAAGCATTCTTTTCTACCCTGGAATTGTGAGGAGGTTCCCCCATTCCTCTGTGGCTGCAAACTCTGCTATCCTGGTGCTCTTACTCACCTTGGGACTGACATTCAGGACCTGGAACCGAGTATAGGCAAAGCAACAGAGTCCTGCCTTAGTGTTAGCAAAAAGACTCCTGTAATCTCTTTCTGACCAGTTGTTTGACTCCTTTACCATCTGTGAGCTGAGAGCCCTGGAAACAGCCATTGCTACTGCAGCTGATGATTCAGTCACTCCCAAAGTCTGCTCCTTTTTTGCTGTGTCTGGTGCTGTGCTGGTGCATCCTGTGCTGGACTGCACTGTACTCTCACCCTGGTGTTATGAACCTTTCTTGCTGACTTTCTAAGTTGTCTTTAGCATCTGTGGGTTGAGAGACCTGCAAACCTCTACACTGCAAGTGATTCAGTCACTGCTCTGGCTTTGCTGGGGTTTGCCCTGTGCTTCTGAACTGTGCTCCTCTCTCCGCCTGGTGTAACAGACCTTTCCTGCCAACCTTCCAAGTTGTTTTGGGAAGGAAATTTGTTTCATTCCATCTTTTGTTGGTTCTGCTCCTCTAAAATTTGTTTAAAGTCATTTTTAAAGGTATTTGGTAGGGTTTGGGGGAGAGCTCAGGAGAGTCCCTGCCTTTCCTCTGCCATCTTGGCTCCACCTCTGCCTACAGTTATTTTAAGTGGACTTTCTCTTTCTATTTCTTGCTGCTGGGCTTTGTTGGTCATATGTAGAAATGCTGATGATTTATGTGGGTTGTGTAAAAATTTCTTGGGTGAAAAGGAGTCAGGAGTGGAAAAAAAAGTTTAAGAAGCTTTGCCCTACTTCATGGTCAATTTTTGTGCAGGTGTGATGTGCAGATGAGAAAAAAATATATATTCCTTTCATTCCCATTCAATTTTCTCCAGCGTTCTATCATATTAAACTTCTCTAAAATTCTATTAACCTCATTAACTTCTTTCTTGTTTATTTTGTGGTTAGATTTATCTAGTTCTG